GGTCCTCCCAAACGCAGCGGATCTACTTCTTCTTCTACTACTACTACTACTACTACTACTTCTACTTCTTCTTCTTCTGCCACCTCCAGGGCTCGAGAGCTTCGCAACCTTTATGCACTGTGGGACATGCACACATGCACATATACTGATCGGAACTGTACGATTCATCCGTCAGACACCGATATTGCCCAGTCGAAGGCCTTTAACAAGCATATGCGCGCGCTAGGAAGCTGCAGCGCGGGCCTCGGGCTGCGCTTAGGGATTGGGATCTATAAGGTTGTTTGACTCTCATGCAGTATTAGGAAGGGTGTGGGCTCTTCACGTCATGATTGTTGTTGAGCTGTGTACTCACAGACTCGACCTCGTAGTGACGATGGCATGGATCATCATAACGATGATGGTGATGCTCATAACGATGATGAACATGCTGATGGTCATGATGGTTGTGATGGTGATGATGGCGACGAATATGATGAATATGACGAAAAGGATGTGCACATCCTGATGATGACGCTTATGATGACGATGAGAAAGCATGTGCCCACCGCACAATGTAGACAGCACGATTGACATTCTGATTCCGGCAGCTTCGGCGACTGTAGTTAATGTCATGATACCACTGCCATTTGTCAATAACCCTAAAGGCTAGACCCTGAGCCCAAACAGCTTCGGCTTTACCACAACACGAACCGAAGCCCTACCGAACATTCGAGCATTTGCAGTCTCAAGGGGCCAGACTAGCAGGTTGATACCACAGGGAGCAGTGAGTAATGAATCAGTTACTCTGATTTAGTTAACTGCTTTTAAGAAGGCTAATATGATAAAGTTGCTATAGTGCGCAACAACCAGGGTAAGACTTATGCTTGAAAGCCTGGGAAGGTTCGACACGCTTAGCTTGCCCAATATAGGGGCCTTAATACTTAGAATAGGGTTTTGGGGGTTCCTTAGTAAACAGTTATAGTACAATATATCCCCAAACCCTATTCTAGTTATTAAGGCCCCCTACATTAGTAACCTTGAGAAAAATCCTGCACCCAGGAACCCGACATCTGTCAAGCGCCAAACCCTCAAACCCAGAATAGCCCAAAAGTATGGCCTTTGGGCCCAAAAGCCTTGTAAGATGAGTCCCTCGAGCCTTAGGGTAAACTACTCCCGAGCCGCAGCGTGGCTCGGGCCATCCAAAATCTAAATCCCAAGCCCTAGAAACACTAAAGCTTCATAAGGGTTTAGGGTTCAGAGTTTAGGGTTTAGGGGTTTAGGGTTTAGGGGTTTAGGGGTTTGGGTTTTAGGGGTTTAGGGTTTAGGGGTTTAGGGTTTAGCCTAAACCGTCAAAGCAAAAAACTGACACAACCCCAAAGAATAAAAACGCGAACCCGGAAATCCTAAACCATGAGGTAAGCTGAGGTTGCGTCTCCATGGGCGCCTCCATGATCACCAGTCTTTGCACCACACAGGCAGCCCAAGGAAATTCTAGCCTGGACCCTAAGCCCGAAGCCCGAAAACGGGGGCCTGAATAATTAGACTAGGGTTCTGTTCCTTTAAAGGGGCTCCACTGTTGTTCATGGTATGGTCGTCCCCATGTGAATTGCTACTTTGGGCTTGAACTGACTATAGGTAGGAATCCTTTTACCGCCTAAGTATGTGCTATGTATTGTTTAGGGCTTACGGTTCTTTCTGATTATATACCTGTTTGGCAACACGGGCCCCCAGGGCCTTCTAGGCTGGCTTTTCGCAAATACAGCTTGAACCGAGTGGGGTGTTTAGGGTTTAGGGTTTAGGGTTCAGGGTTTAGGGGCGGCAATCAAGGCGTTAACCAGCACTAGGTCTTTTAGATTGCATGGGCGCGATTTCATATTGGGGTATCGGGACAACTCTCTCGCACTGCAGGCACACGATGTCATGAAGTTGCTGGGTTCGCCATTCGCTAGCCCAGAAGCATCAAACGACCTTTGAAATATAGAAGCAGGGTGTATGCCAAGATAGACCAAAGCTTAGGTGTTCAGCTGCTCGGACTTTTGGGGCATTGCATGGCCAACTCCAATCGCGGGACCCTAAACCCTAAACCCCAACGCCCCACTGGCTTATTGCCAGAGCCCCACCTCCTTTACTCTCATATCGATCCTCTACCCTAAAGACCAACATAAGTACCAAAAAGCCTGAACCCAACAGCCTCAACCTAAACCCAAACCTTAAACCCCATACCCAACAGCCTAGCCCCTAAACTCAAACTCTAAACCCTGATCCCGAAACCCTACACCCAACAGCCTAAACCTCTGAACTCAAAACCCTTCATTAACTAACCGTTGAATGGCCCTGGGGCTCAAAATAGCCCGAAAAGCCTTCTATATGTTTGGGCCCAAAAGCCTTCCATAGTATGGTCTTTGGGCCCAAAAACTGATAATATGAGTCCTTAGAGCCTTAGGGTAACCTACTAACTACAGGAAAGACTAAACCCTAAACCCTTAGCCCTTAACCCTGAAACCCTAAAACCCCTAAACTC